ACCATGTGGCGCACGCCGTCCGTTATGGGTTAAAGCCGCCTCCATCCGAGGCTCTCGTCTGCGCTGTCTCGCCTTATAAGCGGCTGAAAACCAATTTGATCTCTCACATCTGAACTTTTGCCACTCTATAATAGGCTCACCCACCCTCCCCCTCCAAGGTTCAATCCTACGGCTCTCACCTCCTTCCTAGGATTTGAAGCCAAGCTAGAAGCTGTTCACCAAGTGTTTGTACTCTCTGCCATTCGTGGCGACCATAGAGAGAAATTCAAGTAGTCCGCAATCCGCGATGGCGCGTATTTCGAAAGTGTGGAGAAGACATAGCGAAAGAGTCCTCAAAGGTTATTCCTCAGTGGTGTCTAAAAAGTATACGGGCGAAAGAAGGGCCCGGGGGGGGGCACGCGATGGCGCGGCGCTGTTTTCGTCTGCTCCTCCAAGGCTTAGTCACCGATGGCGTATTTTGAAACTGCCACGTGATGGCGAAAGAGTAACTGTCCCTGTGGACTAAGCCCTGGAGGAGCAGACGAACAGAGCGCTGCGCCATCGCGTGCTCCCCCTCCCTCCGATTTTCGCCCGTATACTTTTTAGACACCACTTAAGAATAACCTTTCAGGACTCTTTCGTCATGTCTTCTTCACACTTTCGAAATACGCGCCATCGCGGATTGCGGACTACTTGAATTTCTCTCTATGATCGCCACGAATGGCGGAGAGCACAAACAATTGGTGAACAGCGCCTGGCTCGGCTCCAAATCCCAGGAAGGAAGTGAGAGCCTAGGACTAAGCCTTGTAGGGGGGAGGAACTCCGGGTGGGTGAGCCATTACAGTGTGGCAAAAGTTTGAATGTGTGAGATCACATTGGTCTTCAGCCGCTGATAAGGCGAGAGAGCGCAGACGAGAGCCTCGGATTGAGGCGGCTTAAGGTCCGAGTTAAAGTAGCCCGTCAACCAGCCATCGCTGACTTTGAGGAGCACGCGAGAACAACGCTGCGCTATCGTGTGCCCCTCCCCCCCCCCCGAGTTACTTTTAAAAGGGACTCTCGACAAAATATGCACTTGCTACTGAAGTGTAAAACCAGGGTACAGCGTGCGTTGAGGAATCCTCGACAGGTCGGCAGGGGGGGGGGTCGTATTGGCGCTGGAAGGAAGGGTCGGGCCAGATTGATGCAGTACTGTCGGAGGACAAACATCAAGGATCGAGTCGATGCCATGGAAGGCCAGAGGATTTCCAATAACAATGTTATTCCGCCCACATAAAATTTTCGTGATTCAAAGGGTCCGCGTAGTAATTCTTAAGTACCTCAGTGATTTACTTCGAAAAATCCGAAATCGCACGTTTTCAACGGATATTTTATCTTTCAATGAGTCCACCAATCGAAGGATGTGAAGCACACGGCGCGTCCCAGAGTGGGCCCAGTTCATTGCGCGCGCTTCAACTACGGCTCTCTGGAGAAAAATCTCAATTCAGGAAAAATCAAGAGGATTCTGAAAGGGTTCGTGTGAAATTACAGGGAGGAGTACACTATTCAACAAGAAATGCAGCCTTCAGCGTCAAATTCGCAAACATATAAGGGTTTCGTGAATTCCGAGTTCGCACTCATTTTTGCACAGAATTGCCCCTAAAAGTAGTTATAGTCGTTGAAAGAAAGTCAATACAGCGAAAAAGTACCTTTAGGCGGTACTCGGACAAAAATCCTCAAGATAGCCATTTTCTAAATACTGAACATGTTGAGATGGTTCACTTCATAAAGCAAACCCTCTTGTTTAATAATGGATGAGGATGAGGAGTTATGGCTTTGGGAAATGTAAAAACTCGCACTCATCACAAATTTTCCTCGTTAATTTTGCAAAAATCCTCAACGTGGCCATTTTTTAAATACTGGACGTATTGAAGCTGCTTCAGTGACCGTTTGATAGAGCAAATCTTCTAGTTTATGATGAAGTTTTAACTTTTCAGAATGGATGAGGTTCAACGGAGTTATGGCCAATGGACCGAAAAATCTTTGTTTCCCGCCGCAGGGCAAACACCTAAGACGACGGCTACAGAAATTGTGATAGTTTTCTGGGGCGCATGTTGCTCCAGGGGCGGGGAGGGGGGCAGCCCGTATCGCTGCGTCAGATTCACCGAAACCCAGTTTTAGGAATAAACCTCAGAGGAGAAGAGGGATTCTGAGGTGCGTAAGCAGTTCTCATTGTCCGGTGTAACGTTTTCTGCCAACGAAGTGGTTAGCTGATTGTATTAGGCGTTTCAAAAAGTTCTGTCGTTTTCTGACACTCCACTTTTGGATGCTTTATTTTTCTTGAAATCTAGGAAACTGCAATTGATGTGGATATCATTTTGAAGAGCTTTTCCTGCTCTATCCAATGCTTAGCTCAGCTTTGTCCTAAAACATTTTCTTATAGCTTTTTCAAAGCTTTGAATGCGGTATACTCGATGAGCAAGTTGGCATGACTTTCTTTTTCTAGCTTTAAATAGACCTGAAAGTAGCGGGAACAGTTCAAGATATTAACGATGCACTTGGCCTAGATTCGCAATAAATGTGCTCAGAAGCAGTAGTTCAAAAAGTTATTGTAACGAAAGCGAGAGCCTTGGGTATGATGAGAGTGGTGGTCGGATATCGGACGTTGTCCACCGATTAGCCAAAAGTTCTGATTGAGGCACTCGTGCGTAAGACCATAGAGGAGGTTCTGCCCAACCTGGGCGTATATGGTTTGTACAGCCAAGCTATACGGAAGTAGCTGGAAAGTCCAAAAAATTTGATAGGGGCGTGCCGCGACAAATCACCAATTTGAAGGGTCGTCCATCAAATTGTCGCTTGTTTTATGTGATAAAAGCGACTCGTTTTTCTACAGATTTGCGACGTACAATAAAGAGCGGATTCTTCTCTATAGTCCACGAAGCTTTGCTGAATAGATCGACGGCGATGAAGCTCTACAAACTTTGCAGAATTTAAACTGTGCTGGAGGAGGGTGATGGCAACTTTCATGAGGCCAGCGGCTGGCCATGTTCTTCCGTATAACCTGAAACTGTTGCAGTGGAAGAGTAGCCTTAGGCTGATGTCAGAGTCCGCGATCCGTCGCAGCTTTCGCTGATTTTCGCGATTTTCGCGATTTTGCGATTTGCGTTTTCGCGATTTGCGCGATTTTCGCGAAACCTACGACAGATCACAGGAGTACACAAGGCACACCACACACAAGGCGCCGGCGAACTGTGGAACATTTTCAAATTTCCCGCACATTTCGCGGGCGCTACCGGCTCGGCCGTGCTCGCCGCGGCGCCCATAAAACGTGAAAAAAGTAGGGGGGGGTGATGGGGCACTTTCGATTCCTCTGATACGTCGCAGGCTTCGCGCGGATCACAAAAATTGCAAGTGCCCCATTTGAACATTTGAAACACTGAATATGAAACAAGTGGAATCATGAGCAGTCGTCATTCAGCCATCACCATCAAGCAGAAGTGGCGGCGGGATTGGAGAACACCTTGCAGTATTGATCGGGCACTTGTGATTTCCGTGACCCGTCGCGCAAATCGCGAAAATCGCGCGACGGATCGCGGACTCTGACATCAGCCTTAACGTTACGTCAAAATTCATCAAAAACACTAAGACATGGGTCCAGCACTTCCCATTGTAAAGGGACACACACATCCCTGAAAGTGTCTTGGAACGCACATCGCACGCCAACCCTTCACAAGTTGGACCAGCTGAACTTCAGAGTGGTTCTGCGAACATCTTACTTAGTAGACCTCTTGATCTATCTACTGTCACTTTCTGACGATCTCGATAGCTTCCTTGAAGAGAAATGCATCAAAACCCAACATGATGCTAAAACGACCTTCCCTCAGTTCATCGCCTCCAGAGCTCCAGCATTCTGAACAAACGTACCCTGTAAAACGGTTTCTTATAGAAAAGATTCGCGCATTTCGAATGGTTTTTTAATCAACTCGAAAGGTTTAGTTTAAGCCGAGATACATGCATTTGAAATTGGGGCCGTAAAACGACAGAACTTTCTGAAACGCCTAATAGTTGTGCTCTATAATTTGTCACACACAAATACAGGCGCAATGTGGCTTGGGGGGGGGGGGGAATCGCCGTCGCGGCTCAGCGAAGTAGTGTAAACTCGAACATTCCAGCTTCTCACGCATGGTAAGTGACTGCCCTCACCCCCCCCCCGGCTTCATTCCCCCTGGCTCACGAATTTCGTGCTGCCACACACGCCGCGGCAGCGACTGCCCTCCCCTCCCCCGAGCCACATTGCGCCCAAAAACATAAAATATTACAGCATTTCGCACACTACGAAATTTACGAAATTGATTGCAATGTTTACGAAATTGCTTGCAAAAGTGACGAATTGGGCGTTACAATGACGAAATTGGTTGCAACGTTTACGAAATGGGCTGGAAGAAATACGAAATGGGCTGCAACGTTTACGAAAATGGTCGCAGCTTTGACGAAATTGCAACGTTTACGAAATGGGCTGCAACGTTTACGAAAATATCTGCTGCTTTGACGAAATTGGTTGCAACGTTTACGAAATGGGCTGCAACGTTTACGAAAATAGCTGAAACGTTGACGAAATTGCTTGCAACGTTTACGAAATGGAATGCAAAGTTTACGAATTGGGGTGGAAAACCCTGTATTCATCCACATTGGCACCCCCTCGCATCGGAGACACTCGTCCGGTACTGTACCAGGTGGTCGCTACAGGTTATGGAGCCGGCGTCATACTAGAAGCTAAGGAATTTTTTTGTGATAGGACCGGACCGCCGCGACTTGCACTGTGTTGTTCTTGAACCATTCGCTGTCGATGTGCTTACGGACGAGTGTGGTTTTGACAAGACCCTAGTATCCATCAAAGATCTGGTTTGGGTCTATTCAATTTTCACCGACCGTCGCGAACCACCTCTTCCTTTCCCGGATACCTTCCAGACAAACTATCAGACAATCACTCTTACAGCCGACCAACGCTGATACTGGAAATGGGATGAACTGCCATTGCACTCGCAATGGCAGCACATCCCATTTCCAGTATCAGCGCCGCCTTTGGCACCGGGAAAACACTTTTGGCTGCTATCATTGCTGCTCATTATGTGAAGCGCGGGATGGGCCCTATAATAGCCACTACTACCAACGGGGCCGCACAGTTCACCAACACGATGTTGACCTTGCAGGATTTCCTCGAGGTGCGCCTTCTGAGATACATTTCAGAGACGGCGTTCCTCGATGACGCCCCGGCTACCCCCGCGGACATCCATGAGATACTCAAATCCCTGGGTAGCCAATTCAATTCGGCATTAGCTTATCAGAACGCATGCTGTGCTCGCGTTTCAGCAGAGGCCGCACCCTGTAGGAGCAATACGCTAGGAATCCCGAGCAGTCGATGCACATGTCTTAAAAAGAGATCGAGGAGTACATCCTCGCAGAAGAGGAAGTCTCAGAGTGCGTTAAGAAGATGGTCACGCTTATCTTCATCTGATCCCAGGTCTTCAAGGTACGACCGCCGGATGTTTCGCTTCTGACCACAGCATCCCTGCTTAACACTACGAGCACAGGCGGCATTTTTAGGACCCACCTCGGCAACCGCAAAATAATCATTATTGACGAGGCCTCCCAAGTACCAGAACCTATATTTGCCTGCCTCACGACGCTCTTTCCGGACGCCTCGCAGCTCTACGTCGGCGATGTTAATCAGATGCAGCCGCATACTAAATGTCCGAGCTCCGCTAACCCAGCCTTATTTGGAGCACGCAGCGTTATGGAAGTCCTGTCCCAGTCGCCCCTGATACCTCGTGCGACGCTGGTTACCACGTTTAGAGCGCACCCCGCCCTCAATGCGCTGCCTAACATCTTATCTTATAACGGTACCTCAATTAGCGGGACCAGAGCGCATGATAGGCGTATGCTACAAGATAAGATCCACTTCCCTAACCCGCAAGTGCCGTTCGCTCTCGTCGATGTGCAAGGCTCTTCCGTTAGGGCGCCTACGCGTTCCTACTTGAACGAGGACGAAGCTCACGCTTGCATTTCTTTAATTTCCTACCTTTTGCACGCCGCCAACCTCACGCCGCAGCAGATTTGCGTATTATTAGGTTGTCTCATAAATAGTGTCGCTTTTTTTCAACCAAAAAATTTTCATCTAAATCCCCATGCTTTTACATCGATCATATACCATTCGAAAGAGAATTGTCTGCTCTACAAGATGCTATGTTCTTCTTCCACTATGTTCCAGGTTTTCAAATTTTAGGCCTGCGAAATGGGAGGTCCAGCCGACAAAAATTGACCAAACCGACAACTAGCTCTAACTTTATCTTCCCTTGGAGAAATCAATCAATGATGTACCCTCTACTTACCAAAAAGGTTTGCCCTGTTTCTTTTCGAATTGGCCGACCGATAAGCCATGGCAATTTTCAAATTGAAATTCTTCCTCTGAAACGCTATTGTTTTATATCAACTGGTGTATCTTTTGTGAGCACTTCTTCTGCTCTATTCGCTCATTTGTTTTGTTTTATGTTTGTTGGAATTAGCTTCGAATTTTAGGTGTTTAGGAGTAAGGTGCTTTGTCCACGAAAGTGACCGCATTTCTTTGAAAAAATTATCCCTGAGAAGATGAGAAAATCAACCAGGCGTACATTCCTAACTTAGTCATGACTTGTTCTTGAAATTCTACTAGTTTTTCAATGTCTCGGCTGTAAAAAATTTCGACCTCGATCTCAGGTAATGGTGCTCGACCGTCGAGTTCTGGTTGAAAAACCAGGTCTGGAAATGGAATGACGCGACTTGTTGGGAAACCTAATAGTGTAATGTTTAGAAGAGGTCATGCATAAGTAGAGGGTACATCATTGATTGATTTCTCCGAAGGGAAGATAAAGTTAGAGCTAGTTGTCGGTTTGGTCAATTTTTGTCGGCGGGACCTCCCATTTCGCAGGCCTAAAATTTGAAAACCATGGAACATAGATGGAAGAAGAACACGATATTTTGTAGAGCAGACAATTCTCTTTCGAATGGTATATGACTCGATGTAAAAGCATGGGGATTTAGATGAAAATTTTTTGGTTGAAAAAAAGCGACACTATTTATGAGACAACCTAATACATTCTACCGCGAACAGTACCGCCTTTTGCAGGATTACGCCGCTGAGCGCCACATTGAAATCGCTACAGTAGACTCAATCCAGGGGCGCGAAATGGACGCGGTCATACTCTTGACGACGCGTACGGGAATGGAAAGGGACGGCGTCGACCTTTGTCGACAACCGTCTTCGCCTAAACGTGGCCATCACAAGATGCCGCCACGGGCAATTTATTTTGGGCCAAGTGTAATCGCTCAGGCCGCTTCCGCATTGGGGTACAGTCGTTCGTTGGGCTTAGAGCATACAAGCGGTCGTGCCGGCTTCGCAACTGAATCAGCTCTTTCCGAGCAGCTGAACAGGGCAGTTTTTTTTTTCTCCTTTCTTTTCACATAATCAGATGCATCTTTCAACTATTTTTCGCTCGCCTCTACATTTCGCTTTTTCAGCCATTACTATCTCTGATTTTGAATTTCGCTTGCTGCTTCCCTACTGCTCCCTTTGTCATTTTATCTTCATGGCGGAACCTTCACGAGCGGCACGAAGCAATGCCACACAACCTCGACAACCAGTAGCCGCACGGGACCAAACCTTCATCGCCTCCAGCCACCACTTCATTTAGGTTTACTCTTAAAGTCCGCGACGGACTTTTTGTGGTTGAGGGAGGTGTGAAGGATACGGTACGCTAAATCAGCATGAGATGCTTTCCAGGCTGGACGGCAGAAGATGAGCGACGGAGATAACGCGACGACCCGAGGAAATGGCAACAAGGCGAGGGCAGTCGAGATACCCGCGGGGAAGCCGCGGTGCGTCATCCGTCCGGACAGCGCCGCCAGTACCATCGTCCATCCTGCCTTAGATAGCCTCTCATCGCTTTCCTGCCTCAAGCGTAGTCACCATCTACTACATAAACGCTCGGGCGATAACTTCGCTATATCCAGTGTTCCAGTTATGTGCCTTTCGTTCATTATCCATACCTAGTAAATATACTTATTTTCGTCGTAGCCTGGAGCACTTACTCAAGATATGATATAGGGCGTTGGTGACGCGGAACAATTTGGTGGGGAAGAACGTTGATATTCAACTCGATAAGGCTGATAAAAGGCGCTAGAACGCAAGTGTCGCGAAATTCATAGCTCGGGCACCAGTGGTCGTCAGGAGTTGGTTTCAAGATATGATATAGGGGGTGGGACGGGAACATATTTGGTGGGGTAAAGAAAGTGATCACAACTGATAAGGGCTGATAAAAGGCGCTAGAACGCAAGTGTCGCGAAATTCATAGCTCGGGCACCAGTGGTCGTCAGGAGTTGGTTTCAAGTATGAAGGATACGGTACGTTAAATCAGCATGAGATGCTTTCCAGGCTGGACGGCAGAAGATGAGCGACGGAGATAACGCGACGACCCGAGGAAATGGCAACAAGGCGAGGGCAGTCGAATACCCGCGGGGAAGCCGCGAGGTCGCGTCATCCGTCCGGACAGCGCCGCCAGTACCATCGTCCATCCTGCCTTAGATAGCCTCTCATCGCTTTCCTGCCTCAAGCGTAGTCACCATCTACTACATAAACGCTCGGGCGATAACTTCGCTATATCCAGTGTTCCAGTTATGTGCCTTTCGTTCATTATCTAATAAACCTATTTATCTTATTTCGTGTATGGGCTCGCACTTACTCAAGATATGATATAGGGGGTGGGACGGGAACATATTTGGTGGGGTAAAGAAAGTGATCACAACTGATAAGGGCTGATAAAAGGCGCTAGAACGCAAGTGTCGCGAAATTCATAGCTCGGGCACCAGTGGTCGTCAGGAGTTGGTTTCAAGATATGATATAGGGGGTGGGACGGGAACATATTTGGTGGGGTAAAGAGAAGAAGTTCGTGATTTTTTTACCATCAACGGATGAAGGCTGGATAAATTGGCGGCGTTAGAGGACGAAAGCGCATAGATTTCATAGTTCGGGCACCAGTGGTCGGTCAGGGAGTTGGTTTCAAGTGTGAAGGATACGTACGTAAGTCGATGTGGAGATGGGTGGTGGCGGGCAGGGGCGTGGGGAGCCGGCAGGGGAGGGAATGAGCGAGCGGAGGGATTAAGCGCGATCGACGTCGGAGAGAGGTGGCGCAACAAGCGAGGCCAGTCGAGGGGTACGGCGCTGGGGGGAAGCGCGAGGGGGGTCGCCTCAGGCGGGCGGTCACGGAGCGGCCGCCGGCTGGAGTTACGGTGTCCATTCGTGGGCCTTTAGATAGCGTTGCTCATCGCTGTTCGTGCCTCAAGCGTAGGTCACCAAGCTACGTGGTACAATAAAGCGCTGCAGGGTCGATAACTTTCGCATTATCGGGAAAGCCAGTGGTTCCAGTGTATGTGCCTTTCGATCTATGCTAAACCTATTATCTTATTTCGTGTATGGGTCGTCAGGAGTTGGTTTCAAGATATGATATATAGGGGTGGGACGGGAACATATTTGGTGGGGTAAAGAAAGTGATCACAACTGATAAGGGCTGATAAAAGGCGCTAGAACGCAAGTGTCGCGAAATTCATAGCTCGGGCACCAGTGGTCGTCAGGAGTTGGTTTCAAGATATGATATAGGGGGTGGGACGGGAACATATTTGGTGGGGTAAAGAAAGTGATCACAACTGATAAGAGCAGATAAGAGGTACTGAAACACAAATAAAAGAAAAAAAAAAAATGCTGATAAAAGGCGCTAGAACGCAAGGGTCGCAAAAAATTCATAGCTCGGGCACCAGTGGTCGTCAGGAGGTGGTTTCAAGATATGATATAGGGTATATTTTGTGGGGGTCACAAAGTGATAACGACTGATATGAGCAGATAAGAGGCGCTGAAACACAATTTCACAAAATTCATAGTGCGCTTCGCAGCAGTCGTCAGGAACTGATTTTGGGACATGATATGGGGGTTGGACGGTAACATATTTTGTGGGGGTCAAAAAGTGATAACGACAGATGAGGACTGATAATTACGATATGCGTACGAACGTAGAGATTACTCGAAACCAGATTGCAGATAATGCATTTCATTTCAATATCATTTCATTAGCGTTATAATTGTAAATTCAAACACCTTTCAACCGCTACACCTTCTAGAGTTCTTGAGGATGAATGGGATGCTCTAATAAATTTGATAGTGAATACTGGGCATTCCGTCTTGAGATTACCAAAAATTATTCGACCGCTAAATTTCCTCGATTCTCGATGCATGGTGGTTGTTTACATACATCACTTTAGCTGTGCACTTCACTGCGCTTATCAAACAGTGAGATACAGCCAAGATGGGCAACGGACAGTAATGCATTTAACGAAGCAGCTATAGTTAAGCGGTGAAACCCAAAGCTTCACCGATTGTCAGAGGCTTCCGTGTCATGCGCGCGGTAGCGGGCGGAGCTAAACTGGTAAGATAATAATAGGCTATCGCCGGATTGTGGGAGAAAGTTCTCGAAAATGACACCTATAGGCGTTAAGTTCACGCGCAAGCACATGCGAATGTAAAAAAGTGATAATCGAAAAAATGCAAAAACACGAGCATGGCGGGGTGCCGAACCCGCAATTTCGAGCAATCGGGGCCAACCAATACACTCCACCACCCGACGGCGCTGGAAGAAGCATGCAGACGACTTTGATGGAAGTTCCGTATGCTTTCAAGCAATTATTATGCTCAACTTTTGTTTTTAGCTTTACTCGACGTTGCCTCCAATGTCCACGTGAACGAAACGTCTATTGCGCCCACTCAACGCTACGAGTGATATAAACCACGTTGAAGGTGTGAAAACTGCGATTTCTGAAGAAACTTTTTCACTCCTTTTTTGGCATTCAGAGGGCCGCTCAGAAAAAATGGAGCCTAGTTTTGTACTCCATGCATGTACCCCTTTCTCATGCAAAGAACCTTTTTCGAAAATCCCCGAAAGGCTTTCCTGCATTCCTCTTCCTCCTGACACTAGATGTCGGTGTGAAGAGGCTCATGGAAGGACCACTGAAGACCATCCTCTACGCTGACGACATCGCCTTGATAGCGGATAGCAGAGAGGAACTTCAGGCCAAGGTGCAGAAATGGCAGAAGTCCTGGCAGAAGGTGGGCTCCGGCTGAATGTCAAGAAGACCAAGTTCCTGAGCTCTGAAGAGGGTGCAGAGCCGATCGTGGACGGCCATGGTGAGACCATCGAAAGAGTGGAGGACTTCCGATACCTTGGGAGTGGGCCGACGGCAGTGTGGATCAGGCAGTAAAGGCTCGGATCAACGCGGCATGGATGAAATGGAGGGAGTCCACTGGAATCCTCTGCGATCGAAGGTGCTCCAGAACGCTCAAAGGGAAGGTGTACCGAACAGTGGTAAGGCCTGCGATGCTCTACGGCAGCGAGTGCTGGCCCCTGAACAAGAATCACGAAAGGCAGCTTCACTCGGTGAGGATGTCAGAGCGATCATGCAGACTGCCCCTGTCCAGCTGAAGGTGAGAGCAGCGACTGCGGTGGTATGGGCATGTGCTAAGAAGACCACAGGCCACCCGATAAGGAATGCGATGGACTTCGAAGCGCAAGGCAAGCGACCGCGAGGAGCCCAAAAAATAGGTGGAAGATGTAATCAAGAAAAAACTACAATACCGCTCCTAATTTTCGAAACATCTACGCGTTGCGACGGTTTTGTAGCGTCGCAAACCGTCGCACCGTCATAACTCCCTCGAAAGCGGGTAAAATGAAAGGATCTTCACATCGTCTCTCTGTGGCGAGTCTAACTATATACAGTACTGCTGATTTGGTTAAACTGGTGATAAGTCATTTCATAAAAATTATCGTCGATACCTCGTTTGACAGTCAATCAAGGACTGCTCTTAGCTAGCGCCTCGATGATTTCGTAACGCCTCACTTCGAGCCCTTCGCCACTTACGATTGGACGTAAACGCCAAGATGCTCGCCTCTTCAGAAAAAATTCTCCGCGCGCGCTCGTTTAAACAGTCTAGCACTGAGGGGACCTTCAGCTCAGCTACATATTTATACATACGAAACTTCACTAGCTCCTTTGGATCCACCTGGAGGGATCCGATCGAAGTGGGGATAGTGACAGGTCTGGCAAGTACAAAAAGTCACAATAACTAACGGGCTGCCACCCACCATGGCGTGGCGTCATTCGAACTAACCCTGTTCTGACCATCAGAGTTTCTATTTTACAAACAAAAGCCTCGAACTAGGTATCAGTGTCATTGTTAAGTCAGCAGGGAGTAAAGGGAAACCACTCTCATGGCGGGGTGCGCTCTAAACAGCATGCTCACGGAAAGGACTACGGACATCTTTGAACTCAGTTCTTGAACCGCCGTTCAAACTCAAACCTTCGCATAGCTTTCGCTTGACAGTAACGCTTGCTGCATATGAAATCTGACAATCCATACTTGCCACATATGTAATTGCATCACCCACTCCGGAGCAGGGTGGAAATTGTGTCGAGTACGTGGTCGCAGAAGTACTACCCTTCCCCCAAAAATCGAAATCCTGCACGACCCTCTAAAGCAGAGCAAATTAATTCAATTAATTAATCAAAAAAAATCCTGCAAAATAAATCAAAAAAAAATCCTGCAAAATAATGTTATGGACGCCTCATCTTGTCATCTATGCACTGTCTTTCATCGCTGCACACTTTTGTGTATTTACTGAAATATCGACTCGAGGAAAGAGGCATTAACTTTGTGTGACCTCAAAGTCAGGTTCGTTCAGAAATGCACAGAAATCCTGAAGGCACGGGGTTGCGATTTAATCTTAATTCCTGCTTGAGTATATCGAAACAGCCGAGTGTATCAATCAACGGCCGATTCAACGGCAGCTGCGGCGCGATTGTCACTGGGTCAGATTTGCTGAAATCCCGAAAAAAACCGTCGAAATCTACACCCTCGATGAAAAGGTTGCATTCCTCCATTTCATAACCTTTGAAGCAGTTTGAGGTAGGGTTAGATAGAGCTGGATTTCGCGTTTCCAAGAAGTATTGAAATTGCTCTGAAAGCCTTCCATGCAGAAAGATAGGGTCTCTCAAATTTCGTCGAGTAAACGTCGAGGACGCTGAAATTTTCATGCGAGTTTTTGCCACTTCAAAAGCAATATCTCTCTAATAACGTAAGATCCTGAAAAAGGGAAGATAGTTTTGGAAAGCGGAAGGTTTGCGCTTTCTGATGGTCTTCTTAGCTTTCTTCTACATTTCCTAGTTGAGAAGATATCTGCGTCGAGTATGTATCGAGGACGGATCCGGCCACCTGAAAATCCGCTCCCTCCTTCACCATTGCAAGTGTAATTGTTGGCAACGCTTGAAATGGGTCTAGAAAACATCCTCCCAACATAAGCAATAGGAAAAGGGGCAATCGTCATCATCGAATTTTGTCTGAGGTATAGGCCATGCATCCGACCTCACTCGAAGTTGCAGAATCGATTGAAGGTGTCATATGATCATGACCAGTTGACAGAAGCTGCATTGTAGTAAACGCATTTCGTAACTCCTACAACCTGAAGAACAACTTCATTTGCCCAG